CAGTGGTTTGTGAAATGATTAAGGATAGCTTTAATTTGAGGCGTGCAGCTCAATAGCTCCCAAAGGATTGGTAAAATACATATAGCAATCTCCAGTTCCACCTCTGGAGGCCGAACTCTCTCCCGATGATTAACGACAGCTATTTCCTCCCTCTCTCCCTGCTGCTGAAGAAGGCTTATTCTCTGCAAGGTCCAGCCTGCACTGGGCCCACACTCTACCAAACAGCAACATTTACAACCAGAAAAATACTTTCAAGAATAGAAGCAGCCCCAGAGAGGTGAGACAGCACCACAAAAGCCCAGGATAGATCTTCTAATAAATAAATTGGGGTAATAGGGTCAGGCTACCTGAGGCAGACCCGGTTGGGCTGGGTTAGCAGTGCTGGCCCAATGCACCGGGAATGGGAGCCAAAGACTCCCCAGAACAACCTTTGAGGCTGCTCCCAGGAGGTAGCAACGCTACAGCAGCCTTCCCCCCCAGGAAAAATTAGCCTCACAACCCAGAGAGAGAGCTGCTGCTCAAGTGTTATGGTCCTTCAGTGTCTGTTGCTATAGCTTGAGGCTCAAGAGGAGGGCAGTGTGGGTGGGAAAGAAGTACTCATCTAAAGAGCAAGCTGCTGCATGTTCCTCATGCATCCGTGTCATCCACAGCCACCGCGTATCATGGACTCTAGGCCAGAGGCAGCTCCAACACAGACTGAATGTTAATAAGCTGTGAATACCCCAGCTTCCATCTCCCCAGAAACCCACCTTGCCCAACCTTCTGTCCAGGAGGGTTCTGTTCCCACCTGGACACTCAGATAACCCTCCAGTGAAGCTCTTTTCAATTAAAGAGCAGATACCAGAGACAAGCATTAGCCACTGCATATAAGAAACCATTTGAGCTTGAGACTACAACACAAGTCTAGTGAGGAAAGCGAGCCTCCCGGGTACCACAGCCCCAGGGAATCTCACACTTGGGAAATGAAAAGATCACAACATGCATTTCCAGAAGAGGAGGAGGAAGAGGAGGATTCAACAAGAGCAAAGAACTCCCTCAGGAGAGTTTCACTGCCAAGTATAAGTTTTAATATTTATTCACTACAGGCCCGGTGAAGAGAACTGGGAAATAAGGCAAAGGCAAATTATCCTCCAGAGCCCAAGTTAACATCTCATACACACAGACCATGCAAAGCAGCAGCTGTGCTCCTCCCTGGAGTTGCATCCCACATCTTCCCCATCTGCTGAAGCACAGCTGATCGCTTACAAGTCCAGGAGGAATCGATTGACTTTTTTCAGGTATTCCAACTTCAAGTAATCTCCCAGCTCATCTTTTGTGACCCACAGGTAATCTTCCTTCAGCTCTGCCTGGGACAAATCACTGCTTTGGAGGAAGGCTTTGAAGAAGAATACTTTGGCTCCCATGTTATCCTCAGTCCTGATGGCCCTGGGGAATTTATACTTGTAAATCCCATACGGCGCATTCCCCAGGATTTTGGCTTGAATGTGATCTCCTGCAAGACCCCAGCAATGCAAGAGAAAGAAAACAAAACATAAGAACACAGAGCAACAGTAACTGCTCTCCTGTAGTAACAAAAAGGCAGCGTAAGCCACTGCTTGTACGTGGTTCAGACTGACTGTTCCCTCTTCTTAGCAGAAATACTGCCAACTGTAAGCCTTTTCTCATGAAAAAACAACTTGTCTGGAGTCCAGTGAGTCCTCTCAGATTAAGGGAGGCAACGAGAGGGTATCAAGCTTGGCCAAGCCACAGTGAAAAGCAAGAGGACGTGGGTTTGCCATCACCCATCTGCCACAAAAGCTGCTACAGGGCAAACAAGAGCAAAAGAGAAGCCGTACACCGGGAGTAAGCCTAGACCATTCAGGGGGCATTTGGTGACACTCCAACATCAGACCGTGAGGGCCAGACCCGGCACTGCAGCTGCCAGCAGCCAGACATCCCAACTCACAGCCTGCCAGCCCCATCAGCCCTCCACACACTGCAGTCGGTTTGAGATGGTACACAGTTACAGAGCCGATTAGCCAGGATCACGGCTCTTGCGAGAAAGCCCACCCCATTAAACTCTGTCCCTGTGCTGTAAAATGCCTTTTCCCAGTGGACAGGAGGCAATTTCACTACAGCAGATGGCAAATATCCCTCAGATAGGGCACAGGAAAAAAACCACTGGGACAAAGGGGAGGGAGGGCCAGGCATACTGCACACTACACACCCAAAAACGTAACCATGGCTCGCTCAGCTGTGCTTCGCAGTGTCTGCCACAGCTCCTGGTTACCGATTTTCTGTTTCACCAGAAGCATCAGGTTACTGTCCAGCTTCCTGTTCAATGATGTTCGATTGTTGCAGGAGCCACAGCTCCTGGTTACCGATTTTCTGTTTCACCAGAAGCATCAGGTTACTGTCCAGCTTCCTGTTCAATGATGTTCGATTGTTGTTTTTATCAGCATCTGCCAAAAAACACCACATACTGGAATCAAAGTCGCCTGGCAGCACTACTCTGATCCCCTTGATTCATCAACCCTCTGTGTCTCACACCCTTCCAGCAATAATACACAAACATTAATATATAGAACAAGACAAAAACCTAGACAGAAATGCTCTGAGTTGCTCTGGAAGCCAATGCAGGATTCAGCTGGAACCCACTGCCAGACTGTACTTTGTTTCATTTCCTGAAGGAATTTACAGCAAGCAGCCTAGATCTCCACCTTGACAAAAATCAAGAGCACTATGTGGAGCTTGGGAATCAAGCGACCCAACGTTTCTCTCTTGTCTGGAAGCAACACCCATTTTCACCATTTTGCTCTGGTAAGATTTAACACGCACATCTTTGCAGCATGGGAACACCGATTCCCTTGTCAGCCAGCTAATTCCTCATGTGCTAACAGTACTGCCACAGAGTTAAGACTCTCTTCAAAACAAAAAAAAGACCCAGCAAATGCCTTCCCTCTACTGAATTGCACTCAGCTGTGTCTGGCAAACAATCAGAGTGTTCTCACCCACCATGAACTTCAGCCTGTACCTGTTATCCGTGGAGCAGATTTGAATTGTAGTAACTGCTGTTCCCACTTGTCTTCCAGGTCTTGAGCCATAATGACAGTTTTGCCAGGTGCTTCATCATCATCACACATGCTCTCCTTCCTCCTCCTGAGCTGCTCCTCCTCCTCCAGCCTGCGGATTTCATGATCTGAATACTGGCTTTTCTCCAGCTCTATCTAGAAGGGCAATGCAGAGTATTCTTAAGCCACCAGCACTATGCATGGACTTAGCAAGCAGAATTAAATTATTTTGACTTCAGTAAATACAAAATGATGGGAATTTCCCTGAGACTGAGCAAGACTTCCCTACTCACAGCAGGGTCCTCTAACAGGGACATGAACAGCTTTGAGGAAGACCACAGGAGCACTACTAACACCCACGATACCTGGTGCAGGCAGCAAATCACACACAGAGCACTCAGTTATTGCTTCATGGCAGAGAGCAACATCACCCGAAGTACCCCGAGAGTGGTTGTGCGAGACCATCAGCTTCTCCCAGCCCTCGGCCCGTC